GGGTGAGGGGCGGGGGGCTTAGCAGCTACTCCAGACAACAGAAATCAGATCGGCTCAACCGCAGCATACAGTTCAGGAAGGGAACACGAACTTGGAATGCTAACCACACAGAAATGCATTCGGACAACAAAATGAGAAAGAGAGGGGGCAGAGGGGGCTGGGGTGGGAGAGGAAGAAGAAGGAACAGGGCAGGTGGACGGGAGGAGGGAGGGGAGAATGAACCAGAGAAATTGTGGGGGGGGGGCGGGTAGTCAAGAAAACCAAATGACAAACCAGGAAACACAGCTTTGTAGCTCATTTGGAGAAAATGCAAGTTTACAAATGAGTAGTCACTAAAATAAAGAAAGAAAAGGGAGAGGGGGAGAAAACCAACCAGAGCGAGATCAAGAGAGAAAGAGAGAGAAAACCACATTCAAACCAAGCAGAGTGGCAGGGCTTATCTGGAGATGGGAGCGAGCGGGCGCACAGCTGAGCCGGGATACCTACCTTCTCAGTGGTCAGGGACAGGAATGCAATAATAAAAAAGAAAAGAAGGTCTCCGCATTGGGAATGCAGAAGGGGGGGAGAGACAGTGACTCTAAGCTGCGCTCCCCCTCGGGAACCAGCACCTGTGTCGCCACTGTAGCTTCTGGTCTAGTCCCAGGGATGGGAGGGGGCTCCTGCCCAGCAGTTCTGTTTGCCCCCCCTTTTTTTTCCTTTTTTTTTTTTTTTTTTTTTTTTTAACCCACAGGCTCCAATAAGCCAAGCTTTCCTTAACTCTTTAAACAACAGAAAACCTCCAGAAGGCATGCAGGAAGCAGCTGATGGAAGCAGAACCAGAGGGTGGGCCAAGGAGAGGGGCTGGCAGCGTGGGGAGAGAGGCCCATGTTGGGGAGAGAGATGGAGAGAAAGAGAGACAGAGACAGAGAGACACAAAGGGGGGTGGGGCAGAAGGAAAGACAGACAGGCAGGGAATAGAGAGAGGTAGGCCCAGATGGGAAAAGGAGAGAAAAGCTGTTTCAACAAGGCAGAGTGGATAGATGGAGTGAAGGTGTTGGTACATTTAAAAGGGAAGGCAACCACAGATTCGGTTGGAGGCCAGATCCTGCCTCAGGCCTACCACTTTCCCAGGGCTTCTGCATCATTTTAGGAAAACACATCCCTCCTGCCTTCTGGCTTCATCCTGGAAGAAAGGCCAAGATGCCCCTTCCTATCCTGACTGCCTCCCTCCATCTGCGGTCACGGCTCTTTCCAGGGGCAGGTAAGGGGGGAGGCCTGGGATGGGACAGGTCAGGCAGTGCCACGGGCACCTCTTCTTGGGGTCACCCTAGGCTGCCCATGTTGTGATGACATTTGAGTCAAAGGTAGAGGCCAGAGAGAGTCTCTAAGGGCCTTGCTCAGGAATCTTCTCTGCCCCCTTCACTGAATAGTGAGGCTTCCCTTTGACGCTTCCAATGCCAGGGACAGGTGGAGCCAAGGCAGGGGCCCTACTTCTAAGTCCTTAAACCCTGCACACTTTTTCTGGGACTTGGGCTCAGCATCTCACTTCTTTGTCCCAAACTGTGTGACCTCAAGCAGCCCCCTTTCCTCTCTGCCTCACTATTTCTGTGCCCATGTGTGCCTAAACTGGGAAGTCACAGGGCTCCCCGACTGGCTGAAGCAGCTCTCATATAGAGCTGGGCTTGCTGAATGCTGGGCCCACCTATAACCCGGTCTCCATGTGGGCAGGCCCCAGTGCCAGGGAGCTGAGAGCTGGGCGTGTGCCATCAGCATCTGGGAGGGTTCCCCAGGGAAAGGCAGGAGCCGAGACAACTAGCATCCACCTCCGGAATCCTCCTCTCCTTACTTAGGGTTCCCAGAGTGTGCTTTCCATTGACCACTCTCTCCACGTCTTGGCCGTGGCTGGTGGTCTTGAGGTAAGAGGGCTGGAGTCTCCTTTTGGGTCTACCTCTAAAAAGCTGTGTGACCTGAGCTGGCCACTTGACCTCTCTGAGCTCCAGGGAGCAGTCAATAGCAGAACCCAGAAATCCCTTTGGGGGTTTCTCCTTGGCCTGAGATAGAACAATACAGAAATATGCTGGGAGCCAGCACCCCACTGGCCTCAGTCTCAAGACGAGGACGGACTTGTTCTCTTGCCTGGGAGGGTCTGGCTTTGAAGCCTTCACCTGAACTAAACTCTCTCGGGGGTGTACAGCTCCCTCATCTAGGATCTGAGGCCTGGCACAGAAGGTGCTCAGCAGCCTGGCCTTGTCATGCCCAGCCATCTTATACTAGATGGAAGCAGGGGCTCACTGCCCTGGGATGCTCCCCGGGTGACCTGGGACAAGGCTCTCTTCCTCCCTGGGTCTCCCAGCTTCCCTCCAAGGTTCCTTCTAGACAGGGACATGGTGGAATGGTCTGGGCCCCTTCTGTTCATTTAAAAGCTGAGGCAGTTCCAACCTATGCCCTGGGGTCGGGAGGAGAGCATGGACAGCTGCTGCAGATTTGCCAGGAACTGTTGGCCTGGGAGTCACTTTTTAAGTTGTCTTCCCTTTTAAATTCTGGTTACAAAGGAAAAAAGAATAAGGATATAGAGATATGTATACGATTAATGTTCGCTTGAGACTCAAAACCCATCTCTGCATTAGGAGAGGCTCCCACAGTGACACGCACAAAAGCGAAATTCTAGAACAACATAGAAGATAGGAAAACAAAACCAAACCAAACCAGAGAGATAGTTTGCATTTCTGTACATTACCAAAGGAAATGAAAAGAAAGAAAATACAAATAAAAACAAAATAACAGGAAAAGTTACACAAACTTCCCCACCCTCTTCCCTTGCCAACTAAACAAGAAATGGAATCACAGTATTACCACGGTTCAAATGGGAGGCTAAAAAAAACAAGCAAAAACATAGACGGGGTTAAAAATGGTGAGCTTTTCTTTCTTTCTTTCTTTTTTTTTTTTCGTTTGTTCTCTCTCTTTTTTTTTTTTTTTTTAAGGTAGCATCCAAGAATACCCCCACTCCCCCCAAGTACTTGTCCCCAAAGACATTTTTGGTGAATGGCTAAGTCTATGATGCCCCAACACCCCCGCCCCCATCTCACCTCCCAGGAGGTGCAGGTGAGAGGCCTGGATGTCCTGAGGTCCCAGATCTCGCAGGGCCCAAGGGCAGGGAGAGGATTTGGGGAGCATGCTTCATGAACGGGGTAAAAATGTGCTGCCTCCCAGGAAAGTCCCAGGGCAGTGCCAAAATGGAATCCCACTCTGGGAGGGGAGTCAGGATTTGGGTGCTGTTGAGGCGGAATCCTCCCCAAGGCTAGAGGCTAGGCCGTCTTCCTTGACTGCTCTCTCCTGGGGTCTATGGAGACTAAGCCTGTTCTGTCTGTACAAACCCAGGGTCCGTGGTGGCCCATTGCTTAGGGATGGACGGTACCAGAAGTGGGATGAGCCCTCTATTGGCCCTGGCTGCCTTCTGTGCTTTTCCAGGAGGATGGCAAGCTCTCATGAGAAGGTGTTTGGGGCTCTGGCTCTGTGCCCTTAGTGGTGGGGGCCTAGGTACACCCTCTCCTGGATTTTCCCAGATGGAGTCATTATCTCTGGGGCCTGTGGCACCAGTCCCTGTCCTGGTGTTCAGCTACCTCTGTGTGTCCTCTCCTACCTCCAAGGCAGATCCTGGGACAGGGATGTGATCTTCCCTATGTGGTCCAGCCAGGTCCCTAGGAGCTCAGGAGCCTGGCACCCTGTCCAAGTGGGGCAGTCTCAAAACAGGTAAAGTCCTTCAAATTTAACCTTGAGACCAAGAGCCTTTTGTCAGCTGCCTTTGGTTTTCCTCCCTAAGGCCTTGGGAGTAAGGGTGTTTGAGAAAATAAAGGGAGTGAAGGAAACAGCCAAAAATCAAAATGAAACTGACCAACACGGACATGTTTGCTGCTGAGACCTGAGGTCTGGGGAGGGGCAGCCCCACCCTCCCTGCTGAGGCCTCTGGGGCAGTTTGGATCTGGTGGGGGGGAACCTGCAGGCCTGCTTCCCCCAAGTCCCCCGTGCCCACCCCGAGCCACGCCCGCGCGGCCAGTACTGCAGCCCCTTCTCCCTAAGGGGGCTCTATCCCGAACTCCAGGAACTCCAGGATCCATAGACAGAAGGGGATGTGGCCCTCCCTGGGGGCTCGGGAGAGCCCCACCCCCCACCCCAGCCCAGCCCATCCACCTGAGAAAGCCCGAGAAGCCTGTCTGTTCTACCAGCCCCTACCTTCACCACACCTGCTTGTAGGTCTCAAGGACCCTGTGCCCCTCCCGCAGGATGGGTAGGGACGGTTTTTGAGTGGTGTTGGCGCGGCGTCTCTGAGGGAGCAATGGGTACACTGGCAGGCGCTTTAGGAAGGATGGGACATGGGGACATGGGAACCTGCAGGGTTGAGACATCTGGCTGCGCGTGGGCAGTCCCTGGGAAAAGGACAGACTTTCCTTGCAGCAGGGACTTTAGAAATGCAGCTCAGCGGCGACTCAGGGACGGAGAAAGGGGAGGGCTCTGAGGGAGGGGGAGTGAGGCTGTGAGGGGGTTGAGGGAGGGAGGGTGCTCAGAGAAGGGGAGAGGGCTTGGTGGGGAGAGGGAGACTCAGGGCCTCAGTGATGCCCAGGGGAGATCCTGTCTCTTCAATCCGGTTCCTGACTGCGACCCCTAGCATCGTCCACGCCCCTCCCACCCCAATATGTCTGTCGGGGAGGGAGGCAGGAGACCCTGGGTTCTTCTCAGCTGTGTTCCCAGCCGGCAGAGAGCTCCAGTGGTCAAGTCCCCTCTGGCCGTCCGTTTGCCAAGCTCAAGGGTGGCCCAAGCCTGCAGGCCCCCCTCCCCGGACACTCGGGCCGGGTGGGCGCAACCACCAAGCATTCCAGGCCGCCCCCGGGCCAGGAGGGGGACGCGGCGCCTTCCTCCCCGGTTACACGCTCACCGCGCCCGACCCGGCGGGGCCGCACCCCCTTCCCCCGGCGCGGCGCAGCCCGCACGGCGCGGGAACCCTCTGCAAAGCGAAGCGTACGTACATCTGGCGGGCTGTGCGCCGAGCCGGGGCGGCCCCCGTGCGCTCCGCTCCGCTGTCTGCTGCCGCCGTTCTGCTGGGGTGACCCCCATCCGCTGCCGCCAGACGGGGAGGGCGACCGGCTCCCGCTGGACCGCTGGCTGCCTGTCTTCCGCCCGTCATCTCGGTGCTTGGGGCTCAGCCTTGGGGAGGAGAGGAAACGGGGGGAGCCGGCGTGGGACGCCCCCTCTGCAAGTGGAACCGCTGCCCCTGCACGAAGGGCAGCCCCTCACCTGCTCTCTCCCTTGCATTTAGCGAACAAGGCCCTAGCCTGCACGCGGCCTCGATTTCCAGTTCAGTGTCTGGGGCATCTCTGGGCAGGCCTTGCCCGTTCACTGCCAGGTGAGTGGGCACCTGCTCACTCCTGGTAGGACCCCCCGCCCCACTGCTGTTCCGTCCACCATCCTCTTCCCCAGCCCCCTCTCCAGCCCAACGGAGTGTTCAGTCTGCGAGGAAGGCAGCTGAACCACCTCTGGAACTCCTCCCAGGGGCCCAGGACCTACCTGCTGGGCGATCTGGAATCGCTGTAACGGGAGGAGAGGGAGGGGCTCTGGGAGCTGCCGCTGCTGTGGCGATTGGACCTCCGACCTGGGGACTCCCCGTGTGGCCTGGGAGAGAAACCAGCCAGTACCTAAGTTCTGCCTGACCTCCCCAAGGGGGACCCCAGCCCCTTTAGTCTCCTACAGAGATAGGCCCCTAGTCCAGATGGGTCATTTGTGGGAATTAGGAAAAGGCGCCTTTTTGTCTAGACAGCCCAGGTCCCCAAGACCTCACTGACCCCTCAGCCGGTGCTCTTGTGACTAGGGTGGAGGGATGTGGGGCGTAACAAGGGCGGAGCTTGAAAGAACCCTGGACTGGGAGGCAGGAGGCCTGGGTTCCACTTCCCAGCCTGTGGCTGATTCGCAGGGGCTCTTGGCTTCCTCTCTGGGTCCGAAATTTTCCATCTGGGCAGCGGGGACCAAATGAACTACAAGGACTCAATTCTGTGATTCTAGAAGGGGGAAGGGGGAGGAGCTAGAGAACAGGGAACGGTTCTCACCTCTTCCTCTCTTTGTTCTTCTCTTTTCTTTTGCTCTTGGGGCTTTGAGATCTGCAGGAAGCAGAGGCAAGGTGACTGCTCAGCCTAAGCCTAGCAGGGGGGCAGGAGGAGGACTGTGCCTTGGTGTGGATCTGAGATTTGTTCCTGTCCAGGACCTGAGCCCCCGCCCCCAGCCCTGATGGCCTGGACTTTCTTATCCCACCCCACTGCTTTGGTTCCTTTCACTCAGCCAGGCCTCCTTCCTTCCTTCTCCTGTAGGCCCTGGCCTACAATCACTGCCTGTCTGAACCCCAGCTGGGGCTCCTCCTGGGGGTGCCACGAGTGATAGGTCCACCACCCCAGCAAGAAGGCTGACTCGTCCTTTCCTTCTGGAATCTGTCTCACGACAGGCCCCTCTATAAGTCATCCACACCTCGTTTGTGTCTCCTGGGCCCCAGGTCCCTTCAGACAGGGCTCCCTAGGGCAGAGCCCAGACTTTCTTGCCTCTCTGGCCCCTCAGACTGGCTCAGCTCTGGGCCAGCTCTCCAGGGGTTTAGGAAAGAAGTAATCTCCCTTGGGCATGAACTCCCTGACATTTGGGTCCTCTGGATTCTCATCAAGGGTTGTCCCCAAAGCTTCCCATCCCACTCAATCCTGCATACTGTCCCATCCCATCCAGCTCTCTGGGGGGGAGGCCCCACAGTCCTTCTCCTTCTATCTTTGACAAAAGGACTGAAAAGCTTCCTAGTAGGTGTCTGAGGTCTCACTCCACCCCGGTCCCTGTGGGCCCTCAGCCCCACCCTCCTTGATGCCACCAGATTCCAGCTGGGTCCTTCTAGCCCTGAACAGATGCCTTCTTCTGACCGAATATCCAGGGGATGCTAAGAAACAACAGGATATGTTTTTCACAGGAGCTGAGCGGGCGGGGGCAGGCCCAGGAGGCCAAGGATGTCAGTTCCAGAACTCATGTTGCCCGCTTTGGGCCTCATTCTCCCCATCTGGAGCTGGTCTAGCCCTAGGAACCTCTAGGTCCTTCCCAGGACCCATGGGAGCTGGCCCGAGGATCTGTGCAGGCTGATGGTGACCACTAGGGGGCAGTAGGGGGAGTCGACAGTGGCTCCCAAGAAGAGGGGAGGAGAGGAAGGGAAGGAAGGGGGGAATGGGAAACAGGAAACCGGAGGGTCAGGATTAGACATTTATTTAGGCTGCTCCCCAACCTGGCAAGTGGCCATGGGCAAAGTCCCACTGCAGGACTGAGACTGGGGTCTCTGACCCTCTCCAGGGCCACTGGGAGGGGCTCTGTCTCCCATGTCGGCCCTGGGGATGTGATGGCCCTACATCTTCCTTTCTTCCATGCTGAGTGTTCTACTCCCCCCCCCACCAAAGGGCTCTTGACTTTCATCCCCTCCCCCAGTCCATCCTGAAGGAGTCACCATCCTGCTTAGAGCCCCATGCTGGCTCCCAGCCCTGTCTGTTAGGAGGCCACCTCCTTGGCTTGGCAGTCAGGCCCTTTGGGGGCTGGCACCTGTCTCCCAGACACCGGCTAGCCACAGCCTGCCTACCGATCTCTTACCCACTGAGCTTTCCTTCTGTACGGGTGCCCTTTCCCTGCAAATTTGGGATCCTGATGCTTCTCCCTTCCTGACACCTCTATGGACACACCCCTTGGATAACGGACCTGCTGTGTTGTCTGGAAATTCTTAGGGCCCCCGAGTCAAGGCTGACTGCCTGGGACCAGCAAGTGTTGCAAACAGTTGGCCTCCACCCTCCTCCCCCTCCCCTTCCCCTGCTTGGCTCTGGGAAGCAGTCCCAGGAGGGGGGAGGACAGAGCAGGGGAAGACCCTCCCCACCCTCCTCCCATCATTGCATCCCCTGGGCTTCGGTCCCTGCAGGGTGGCACTAGCCTCTGTCCACATCCTCAGCTGGGCATCGCTCACCTGTGTCGTCTCTTCCTCCGGGACCCGGAATCAGACCTGGAGGGCCACAGAAGAGTTCTCTTGAGCTTGTCTGGGGTGACCCGGGGACACAAATCTGCACAGCTACAGCCCTGGGCTGGCAGAGGGGAGAGGAGGCCCTGGGGGAGGGAAGGTACCTGTCTCTGCGGTGCTTCTTCACGCTTTTCTTTTTCTTGCGCAGGGGTGAGGAGCTGCCACAGCTGCGAACACAAGGAGGGGGGCTGCTCTAGTGAAATGCTGCGTGGGAGGGGAGGGGCGGGGGTGGCTGGGCCTGGCTGGGAAGTCAGGGCGCCTGGGGCATCTAGCTGAAGCCAGCTGCCTGTTGTACAAAATGAACTGGGGCCCCGAGGGTCATCAGGGTCCCTAAGGGTGGGTGACAGAACTGTCTGTGTTGTCCCCTAGCCACCCTTCAGCCTCCTTGGCATCGTAAGCGAGGGCTGTTTCACACCCAAGTGTCAGAGGCTCCAGTGGTGGGATTTCTGGCCTCCGGGGGGGAAAGCTGGCACATGGGCAGTTTCCAGGGCCCAAGCCCTGCTCTGGCAGGCCTCCTGTCTCTGGGGGATGGCCTTGGAGTCTTGCCCACCCAGACATCCCCACCCCTGCCCCCAGCCCCTGCAGGCCTTTATCACTGACCTGCACTCAGAGTCCAGTCTCCTCTTTTTGCTGAGGGTCAGGAGAGAAAAGGACAGACAGACAGTTGGGGCTCCAGACGTTTGCCAGGGTCTCATTAGGGGCAGGTGAGGAGGACATACAGAGGGGGAACCACAGATGTGACCCAGCTGACCCTTCCTCCCCAGGCCACTCACACTTGGTGGGGGAAGGGAGTGCAGGAAGGCTGGTGGAGGGAGGAAGGGAAAGCACGAGCAGATGGACTGTCACCCAGGGGTCACTGTGTCCAGTTGGGGGGGGTTGGTGAGTGCCAATGAGGGGACTCGGTGAGGGGAGGGGGCTAGGTGCAGGGGTGGGGCCCCACCAGTGAGGGGCTCGTAAGGGGGCGGGATTCAGCAAAGACAGAGGGGCTCCGCAAGGGTCGGGGCTCCCAAATGCAGCGTCAGGTCTCCTGCCCACAGAGGGGTGGGCGCCCCGGGAACCACCGCCCCTCCCGCCCCCGCCCCGCGGCGCTCTCACCGGCTTCGCCGGTGGCCGCCTTTCTTTTTCTTCTTCTTCTTGGGAGGGGGCGACGCGGAGCTGCTGGACCAGTGCTTGGTTCTGGGGAAGAGGGGGAGGAGGGGTGAGGGAGGAGAGGCGGCCCCAGGCCCCACCCCCCGCCGCCCCCTCCCGCGGGGGGCGCTGACCTGTACCCCCGGTGCCCGCGGTAGCAGGCGGCCGGGCAGTCGCAGTCCACCGGGCCGTCGTCCTCGTCCAAGGGCGCGTACTCCAGGCCCGGCTCCGCGCCCTCGAGCAGCCGCGGGGTCTCCGCCACGCTGCCGGCGACAGGGACGCTCACCACCCGCGTTTGGGGGCCGGGCCTTCCGCCTGCCTCTTTTCCCCCACGCAGCGCCCCGGGACCCGGTCCCCCGCCAGGTCACCGGGTGCGGCCCCAACCCCTAGAGGGTCAGGCGGGGATCTGGGTGACCCAAAGGGCTGCCTCCAGGGCAGCCCCCCGCCTCAGCGGTGCCCTCCCGCCTCACGTCGTCCTCACCCCTTCTGGCTCTCACGTCTCAGCGAGGCCCTCCCCTTACCCAGCCCCTCAGTCCCATCCCCGGTTCTCCTCTCCCCCGCCCACCTTTCACACACCGAGCCCCTTTCACCGACCCCTGTCCCTGAGCCCCACTGTCCTACCCTTGGCCCCCTGCCCCTAGCTCTGCCCCCTCCCCCCTCCGCAGCCCCCCTTTCCCTCGTGAGCGCCCACAGAGCCCCTTCCCATCTTCTAACTCCCCCTCTCTGGCGTCAGCCTTTCCCTAATCCGGGCTCCCTGGCCAAGCCCCTTCCCTCTCCCCCCCCCCCTCCCCCCCACCCCCGCCCCGCCCCGCCTCTCCCTCCACCCACCCCCAACACCCTGTCCCCAGCCCCGGCTGCCGCTCTGAAATATTCACGGCCTGACCTCGCCCTCGTCTCCGCGGCCTCTCGAGGCCAGGCTGCTCTTCTCCCGCAGCCCGGCTGTCATCCATCACTGTCCGGCGGCGGCAGCGCGGGCCCCAGGCCTTCGCCGCCTCCGAGGCTTCCCATCCATCTTGCGGAGCCCTCCCAGGGACCGCCGCGGCCTGTCCCTGCTGCCGGCTCCAGGGCCCCCAGCCCCCTCTGCCACAAATGTTTGCTCGCTGGGGGCACCTGGCTCGGGGATACTTGCTTCCTAAAGGCAGGGGGGCTCCCAGCGAGAGCATGAGCTTGGGAGGTGCACACGAGCCCTCCTTGCCCGTGGGGGGGGGCCCTGAGTCCCTGTGTGACTTGGTACCTGTCCTGCCCCCTCTCGGAGCCTCTTCTTCAGGATGACTGTGATGACTCTGTTGCGGGGCTGCTGGGAGAATTCGCTGTGCTAACCAGTACTGTACAAGCTCATTTTTTTATTGAACAGGCCCAGAAGGGGCCCTCTAAAGGCCCACCTCCGGGGCAAGGGCTCCAAGGGTGGGGGGCCTCCCCACCTGCCATCCTTCCTTCCAGGGTGGTTCAGACAGTGACCTTCCCGGATGGAGGCTCATCCCTGGTTCATCTCATCCCCTACCCTCACTCCTGTGTGCCCTTTACCAGGCTCACACTTTCCCTGGCCAGAGGAGGGCAAGCCCACGGGGGCAGAGCTTTAGGGATATGACATGAGCTTTCGAATTCACAGACAGCTCTCCAACCAGGCATGGCCATGCTCACCGAGTCTCTACTTCCTTGTAGCTCCACAAGCAGGAAAAGAATATTCCCCGCTAAGGAGAGAGGATTAAGTGAGATTCTGTCTGGAAGGTCCTGACACGAGCAAAAGGCCCGGCCCACAACAGTTGTCCCATGCATGGTCGCCACTGATAGACGGAGGGACCTCTGTTAGACACTAAGGCACCTCCTCTTCCAGGGTCGTGACACAAGAAAGGAAGACAGAGCAAGGGAGGCAGACCACAGCGTTGAGGTGGAAGAATTTCCAGGGACACACGTCCAGGAGAGCATCCATGAATCTGCTCTTTAAAGAACTGATTTTGTATTAAAAAAAAAAAAAAGAAGAATTGGGCGGGGTGTGGGGTGGGGTGGGGGCTGGGTGGCTCAGTTGGTTAAGCGTCTGACTCTTGATTTCGGCTCAGGTCATGACCTTGGGGTGGTGAGATCGAGCCCCGAGTCAGGCTCTGTGCTGGGCATGGAGCCTGCTTGAGATTTTCTCTCTCTCCCTCTCCATCTGTCCTTTCTCCCGCTCTCTCTCTTTAAAAACAAACAACAAACAAACAAACACCTCCCCCCCAAAAGAAGGTAACCCAAATCCGACAGAGGTAGCTAGCCTTGGGGCCAATATCAAGAATGCCATTTGATTTCTTTTTAAAAAGATTTTCTTTATTTATTTGAGAGAGAGAGAGATCACAAGTAGGCAGAGAAGCAGGCAGAGAGAGAGGAGGAAGCAGGCTCCCCGCAGAGCAGAGAGCCCGATGCGGGACTCGATTCCAGGACCCTGGGACCATGACCTGAGCTGAAGGCAGAGGCTTTAACCTACTGAGCCACCCAGGCGCCCAAGAATGCCATTTGATTCGTAAATACAAACCTGGTCTGGGCAACCTGAGGGCACGGGTAGGATGGGAGATTTTTCTGGGGTGGTGGAGGAGGGATTCATGTCACTCTCCCTATCCCCACAGAGCCATATGTCCCCACATCCCTCCATTCAAATCTCTCTGCTTCTCCCCACATTGCTCACCCTGAAGCCAGCGGCCTCCTCCTTTCTGTTCCTAAAATCTCCAGCTCCTCGGCCTGTCCAGCCCCCCGCCATCCCCAGCCCTGTCACCCCCACACAGCCCTCAGCCACACAGTTGCCTGACACATAAAACACAGTCTTTAGCAAAACTTAAGGGCACCCCAAACATCGTGTGGGTGAGCTGATGGCTGGAGGGAGCCTCCGTTTATCTCGACACAAAAGTGATGAAGGTTATTTACAAAATAGAATAGCTCTGTTTGGGTACTGCCTTCTGCAGGGATCCTTTGCTGCCTGTAACTTCCAAACTCCTCCTTCCCCGAGCTGTGCCATCCTGCTCTGCTGCCTGCATCCCTACAGACAACTTTCTTCCTCTGGCCTAGGGATAGAGCTTCTGCCTCCTCCCTCCCTGGGGTCCTCTCATGAGGCCTTTCTCACTCTCTGGTCCTTTCTGAGAGGTTTACTTGGGGTCTTGTCTGCTGGGAGCCTTGAAAGACAAGCGTAGAGCATGTGTAGCGGGCTCAGGGAGAGAGGCACAAGGTCTCAGAACCTTCTGGTAAGACTTGCCCTGCATATTCCAGGGGTATAAATAAATGGGCCTAGGCCATGGCCTCTCTTGCTGACTTTGTGCAGCTGGTATCAGGACATTTGTTTTGTAGGCTCTCCCAAGGCTAGGACCCTGGATTCTCCTAGCCTGCCTCTCCTGGATGATAATGTCACTAACAATGATGTTCTCTAACGTTTCCTTGACTCCCCACAGTCCACAAATCCCAATCCGAGCCACTACCTGGTTGAGAGAAATCGCACTCCCCTCCCGCTTTACAGATGAATCAACTGAGGCCCAGAGAAGGAAAGGAACATCCCCTACAGTTTGGGAACCTTTAAGTAAAGAACATAAGTCCACTTAGGCAGTCGGCTCTGAGAATTCACGTGCAGACAGACAGACCTTGACTTTCCTGGCTGACCTCTGCTGCAGAAGTTAGCTCAGCCACCGCCTCTCTGCTTTAGAGACACGGTTATAGGCGTATGCACCAAATTCCAGACTGGTTCAACACTTCCTGCTCTTAACCTCGTGTTTGTTAGCTAGCCAAAGCCTCACCACATCTGTGGACTAGGCAGGGGAGGCCTTCCTCCCTCTTGACGGAAGAGACCAAGCCCCACAGAGCAGGCCAGAGCCAGCCACACGGTCAGGGGTCTCCTGCAGAGGGACCAAGCATGGATGGGGGTTCCGCATTGCATAGGACACCTGTTGGACTGGCCGCCCTGGGCAAGGCCTTGCCTGGGTAAAGACTGCCCATCACATGTCCTTCTCATGCTAGCCATTTCTCTGATGGACTGGTTCCGTTTGCCATTAGCCAGGAGCAGAGTGGCCAGCTGACAGATGAATGAGTCCAGACAGAGGAGGGGAGGACTTCAAGCAAAGGGTCTGCCCTCTCTGCTCATTCTGGAAGCAGCCAGCAAGCCTGACCTGCCTGGGGCCTGGGCAGGGGGGAGGCGGGTGGGCAGGGAGGGAGCAGTGGCAGGAACAGGGATGAGTTAGGCCTGGGGCCTCTCCTCTGGCTCCTCACAGCACCCCGGGGCGTATGGCTAATACCAAAACTACTAACTAACCTGTCACTAACAGGTTATAATACTAATGCAGATGTTAGGGACTAGTCCAAGCTCCTGACGTGTGTTTATCTCCTTTAGTCATTTAATGCACAGAACAAGTCCTTAATATTCTCATTTTATGGATAAAACAATGAGGCCCAGAGATGTGGCTGGATGCAGAAAATTAGATGCACAGGAAAAAACAAAAAATACAAAAAAAAAAAAAAACCAAGCCCAAAACATTGGAATTTGCTCACTGTGTGAGGGAGTAGCTTATGAATATTGTTTTCCATAAACCCTCTCTCTCCCAACCATTTTGTCCTGTTACATAACTATGAAAGCAATTATTCTTAAAGGCTGTCTATCAGAGCAAGGGAGAGAAAAATAAAAACGGACTGATAGCCACTAGAAGAACTGATAGCACTAGAAGTAGGAAAGCATTGTGTGGATTCCAAGGAGGAGAAGGTTTTACTTTTATCCTGAGAATATTAGGAAAGTGGTCGTTAGATGCAGGCCTGGACGATGGGGTGAATGTGAACCAAGGGCAGAAGGGGCCAGTATGAGCAAAGGCTTGGACGGGAGGGCGTGCAAGAGGGACCTGTGATCTGTCAGCAGGTCGGGCTGCTGCTGTGTGAGGCTGGGAGTGGGGCACCAGGCTGGGCTGAGAGTGTGGACAGCCTCTAGTGCTGAGCCTCCCGAGTCCAGCCTTGGCTGTGTGGATGGGGAAGGGGGAGCCACAGAGGGTTTCTGCAGCAAAACAGGCTCCCTATGTAGACCAGTTTCCAAGGACAATGGCGTGTCCTCTCTCAATGTCTCTGGGACTTCCTCTCTCTCACTCGCTTCCCGATTAGCGTGCCAGCTGCCCCGTGATCTCCCTGCCGTGTCCCCCTTCTGATTCCTCTTCCCAAGAAGAAAGCCCCCAGATACCAGTCTGACCACATCACACCTCCCAGAAACCTTCCACTGGCTCCCATCATCTATGGAATGGATGTGCCGTATCCAGTGTGGAGACTAGACCCAAGGGGGCCTGTCTCAAGAGACTGTCACTCAGACCAGCCCATTAACTTAAGGAAAAAAGATCCCTGGGGACAGAAAGCTTTAGGAGTGACTCGGCCCCTTTGAGACTCTTTTATTGAGTTGGAGGTGCCATAATGGGTGAAAATCAGATGTCCTTCCCCACTTCCTCCCAGTGTGGTGACCCTTCTGCTGGCCCGGCTTTGTCACCTCACTCTAAGAGGCCATGTGATTTCTCCAGGTCTCAAAAGGCTGGTGTATGAGGGGCTGGGGTCCCAGGGGCAGGAAGCCAGAGGCATGAGCACAGGGACAGCTGGGTGGTCCACTGTGTAAATAAAGAAGTTGGGGCGCCTGGGTGGCTCAGTGGGTTAAGGCCTCTGCCTTTGGCTCAGATCATGATCCCAGGGTCCTGGTATCGAGCCTCGTGTTGGGCTCTGAGCTGAGCAGGGAGCCTCCTTCCCTTCCTCTCTCTCTGCCTGCCTCTCTGCCTACTTGTGATCTCTGTCAAATAAATAAATAAAATCTTTAAAAAAAAATAAAGAAGTGAAGGCCCAGAGAAGTTAAGACCTGCCCATGTCACACAGCTGGGGTGTGGCGGAGCTGGGATCCAGGGCCCAGGGGGTTCACACTGAGCTTAGAGGTTACACAGGTGAGGTGTCTGGTGCCAGAGCCCACACTCTCCCTCCACTACCCCAGACTCTGAGGTAGGAAGTGAGGCCTGCTCAGAGGCCAGCTCCGCAGGAAGCCACAGGACCAATCTGTCACCAGCGCCCCGTCACCTCTCTGCCTTGGGCCTTGGGTTCAGCACGGCAAACAGCTAGCCAACCCCCACCCCCAATCCAGGCTGCAAGGATTCCAGTCAGCCATCAGACTCCTTGGCTTGCTGTAGTCACCAGAATGCTATTTTCACACTGTTGGGGCTGCCTGAGCTAGGAGAGGCCTCTGGCCCCGACTCTTTTCCCATGTGGAGGAGGAAACAGACTTCGGGGGGGAATCAGGCAGGCTGCACTGTTCTAGGCCCCAAGGAGATAGCAGTAAACAAACCTATAAAGATCTCATCTTCAATATCTTCGAACCCAGGAGTGGGTCCCAGGACCCAGCCAAGGCTACATTCTCCTCTGCCTCCAGAACAGGAGTCCTCCCTGGGGGAGCATTACCGAAGGGAGGGCACAGGAGTGGCCGAGGGTGCTGTGAGTTCAGGGTGGCTGGAGAGGGACCTCATTGCCTCTGAGCCTGGCTCCCCCAGATCACCCACGAGCCCCCCACGAGCCCCTCACGAACCCCTCACGAGCCCTTCACGAGCCTGCGGCTGCTCTGGCCATGTTTCCTCCTACCCATCCCCGAGCTGGAGAGGTGAGGTTTAGGTGAGGTAAGGTGACACTACCCCCCCCCACACCCCTGGAGCCCTCAGCTGCCAGAAGGAAGAAGAAAGGGCTTCCCCGCTGCCCACCCAGGTCCGTCTACACCCGCAATGCCGTCCGTCCTTACGACAGCAGCAACAGGAAAATCTCTCAGAAGGTGCTGCTGTCCTTTTCATTGGTGTGACATAAGGTGACAGGGGTTTAGGGCCTCAGCAAGTTGCCTGCTCCCCAAGTTAGTCCCACCGCAGAGGAAATGCCAGGAGCATTTACCTCGCCTGAGTCTGGGTGGGGGCTCCCAGGCTTAGCAAGGGGAAGGTCCGCTGGGTGGATTCCATCATGCTCCCTCTGTGCCCACTGCCTGCCGGACATGGGGCTCGGGCAGCCATTCCCTGACCCCCGCCCCCCGGCCTGGACACAGGGACAGGCCGCCCCCATCCTCCTCCAGCGGCTTGCGGTATTCTCGTCTGGCTTCAAGTGGTTCCCAGTTCTCTGACATGAGACAAACCTGCTTCCCCATCACTTCCCTGTCTGATGCCCAGGGGCGCACCGTATACTCCTCCTGGCCCTTGACAGGTGCCAGAGGGGACCCCAGCAGAGACCTTGCTCTCGTTACCCACGAGACTTTGGCCACACGAGCAATGGCATTTGGTGGGTTGGTTCCTACTTTCCAGAAGCCATGTTTACTCTGGGGCCCATTTTACAGGTGGTAATAGTTGGGGAAGACGGACTGGCCTGGGGCCACACTGTCAACCAGCGGCCACCCCTGGGGTCAGAAAATTTCTAGGTTTCCCTGATTTATAGCCCAGGATCCCCAAGTTGGGCTCTGGGCTGCTTCTCTCACTGCTGAGCCATAGATAGAACCCAGAGCATCAGGGGAGCTCTGGGGGATGCCAGGGTCCCAGTGGCCCCTGATTTGTGCCCGGGCCAGACGGGAGCTTCCAGTAGATGGGTTGCACGCCCTCTCCTCCACCTTGCACTCCCGTCCCAGCCCCCAGAGGGAGCTTGGAAAGGCCCTTCTGGCACGCCACTGCTGCCTGAACTCACATCCTCCCTTGCCCTGCTCCTAGGCAGGGGAGCACTCACATGTGGCCCCCAGGTCGGTCCTCCCTGGTGAGCATTCCCTCCTTCTCCATCAGCATCTGCCGGAAAGTCCTGACCTTCTGCCGGGTCTCCTCCTCTGAGTACCTGTAGGGGCACAGGGACAGTGAGGGCTGCTTTCTTGGCTTTCCTTCCCTACCTGCCTGCCCCCCCCCCCCCATCACCGGTGTACCTTCCAGCTTGCAAGGACCTGTCCGAGGTCCCACCACCAAGCAAGGGTTTCGGTGCTGGGGACGCTCAAGCCCTACCCATCTGGCACCACACCAGACAACCCACCAGCCAAACAAACAGGCAACGACCAGCCGAACAACCAAAGGAACTAAAGGAGCCGTTGTTCCTAGAGGTGGGGAGACGGTTCAGCGGAGGCCATGCCCTTCCTCCCTGTCCTCCTCCACTCCCACGGCAGACCGCACTCCCACAGCCAGACTACAGGCGCTCTCTGGAGACATATTAAGGGAGAAATGAAGATCCAGGCCTTGTCTGCTTTTCTGGCCTCAAGGACATCTGATCCTCACAATGGTCTTGGGAAGGCCTCAAGATCATCCCGACCTCTGCATGAGCAAGGCTGCCTAGTGGCTTGTCCCAGATCCCAGTGCTAGACCCATGGCTTCCTCGTCTGGCGCGGGAGGTGGGGGAAGTCTGGTCTTGAATGAATGCCCTGACTTCTCTGTTCCCTTCCCCCTACCCACCTAAGCCCGGGCTCAGGCTAGGGTCCAAAGTCCAGAAGGACCATCCTTGCTTCCATGCCCCGGGGTCCATCATGACCCTCTCTCTCTGCACCCCTGTGACAGCCTCTGGAGGGCTTTTCAGCTCCTCTGGAAAGTCCCCTTCCAGCCTGTGTCCACACTGCCCCGGGGCAGGGCTGTGGGGGGGAGGATCTTAGCTCACCCAGCCCCTTGCCCTGTGCCTGGCACATAGCAGGCGTCTGTAGCTGAATGAATCTCAGGGTCTTAAACCCCTCACCCCCACTTCCTGGGCTGCAGGTCATTATCCCAGATGGAAAATACGGTGGCAAAATATACACGGGGTCTCCTCTGTTCACCATCCTCTCTGTCCACACAGCAGACCCAGGCCTCCGCATGGAGCTTCTCCATGAAAATGGCAGGTTGTTGTCCTTCAGGGACCCCACGGCTGTCCTCCCTCCTCATCTCCTCCCACCTTCCCTCCCCTTCTCCGACAGGCATTTGGGATTGGCCCAGCCCTTTTTGGAGAGCAGTTTGGCAAGTCCTTGCAAAAGCCTTAAAAAATGAGCACATCTTTTGACTCAAAATTAACTTGCAGGTTTACCCAGTGGAAATAGTCATGGCTAAGCACAAAGGCGTGACTCATGGGATGTTTACAGCAGGACGGACACCCCCACCACCAGGTTAGGTGCCCACGTTTGCATTTCCATAGCAACCTGTACCTCCAGGGGCCGGCAGGTGGCTCACAAGCTGATCTACCTGTGACTGACTCCTCTATATCCTGCGCAGGCCTGGGAGATCCCTGAGGGCAGGGGCCTTGTCTGTATGGATTGCCATCATGTCCCCAGCATCAGACACCTTGTCTGCCAAACGTGGGGTCCACATTTTTTTTTTTAGACAAACGAGTGGCTGGTGATGGAGAGGCATCGAACTGTTTGCAGGTTGGATGTTCCTTTTGGACATCCACCTCCGGTGGCTGCGTGGCTGGAGGGGAGGGATCTGGAGGCCGGGAGGCTGGCCCTGGGCTACTGCAGGGGTCTGTGCAGTTGGAGTGAGAGAGTGGCCATGAGGACGCAGGGGAGAAGCGGACAACTATCCATCAAGGACGCAGGATGACTGGGGTCTGGGGACCGACTGGGGATGTCAGGGGCTGCATGAGAAGCACAAGTTGCTTCTTAGCCACATATCCCCTGACCCCAGCTGAGGTCTGTCCCTCCGCAGGTTCAAGCACCTGTGATGTGGCCCACCATCGGGAGGATTAAGTCCTGCCTCCCCGCGGCAGGGGCCCCTCTCTTCCAAGCCTGGGTCTTAGCTCATCCCTGTCCCCCCCAGTCCCTGTTAGCCTCAGACCTGCGTTTGGCTGGAGGTGCCTTGGCCTTGCTCATTGGGCAGTGCTCACCTGGGCTGTCCTGGTGCCCAGGAAGAAGGGGCGGTGGCGCGTTCTGAGCAGTGGAGGCACGGAGGAGCTCCTCCCACCCCACCTCCTCCTCGGGAAACCAGCTTGTCGTTGGCATCGGCATAGAGACAAATAGTAGTGGCCCTTCGGCACTTCCCAGCCCCTGACTCACAGGGCTCTGGGAGGGAGAGACAGGCTGGCTGGGCCGTTAGGCACGGGGCCCTGGGCCCGGAGGGGTTGGGGAGAAGATGGTCCAAGAACGAGGCTGGGCCAGATCCTCAGTTGAATGGGATGAGCTTCAGGCCAGGGTCAAGTTCCCCAGACTCCTGGGATCTGTGGAGGCTGGGTGGTAGGAGTAGAAGTCAGGGTTTCATTGATACATGGAGCAGGACACATGCAGGGACTGAGGGCTGAGCTCACAGCTGGTAGGTCCAAGGCAAGCTGACAGACTCCAGCACGTGTCATTGGGAGGCCGGGAGGGCTGGGCTGAATCGACGTGGAGGCATGGGGAGGACCCCTCTACATCTCGGGACATCTTGCTGGGAGAAGCTGGGGACCCGGGGCTGGGCAAGAAGGTCTCAGGTACAACCACTGCCTCCATGTCTCCTGCTCCTTCAAGCCTCGTGAGGTCAACCCTCAGCTGGGGCCACGTTGGACAGTGATTAAGGGAAGAGGCCGAGAGCCAGGCCGTCCTATTTTTGAGTCCTGGCAACCCCCACTTCCTAGCTCTGTGACCCTGGACGAGTCCATACACCTCTCTTAGCCTCAGCCTCTACATCTGTAAAATGGGATAGTAACTTGTCTTTCATGGCTGTCGCAAGGACTGCAGGAAATGATGTTTACAAAGCACTTTGTGCAGTGGGTGGCACATAGTAGCTGCTCAATAAATAGTAATGACCAAGGACTATTTGTCTCAGAGCAGGAGGGACAGAGGGTCTCATGGTCCTAGGCCCCCTGCCTTTTTCCATACCACACCCCCTGCCAGGTCAGCATCATCCCAGGTTGGGAATCACCTGGGCCTCTTCTCTGTGTTCTCCTCGAGGCAAGGGCCGAGATAGGAAGCTGGTGCCCAAACTGTCCGCTCCTTGTGGAGGCAGCGGCATCTGCCAACTTAAGGCCATGCAGGGGGTCCAGCTGCCATGCCAAAGTCTCAGACTAAAAGTCAAAGGCTTGGCCAGGGAACTGGGGACAGGGAGGACGGCAACACCTGTCTCAGTGTCCCCACCCCCTCGCTCTAGCCCTCAGGCTCTCTTGTCACCCCTCCACTCTAGGGACCACAAGGGAGGGACAGGCCAAATTCGTTGTTGCTCCCTGGACCGCCCTCTGAGGTTGGAGTGTGGTAAGGAGACACTGCATTTTCAAGGAGGTCCCCAGAGTACAAAATGTGTCATTCTGCCTGTCTCTGCCCAGACCTGGACGTTCCTACAGTGTCGCTTTCTCGGCCACTACTCTGTTCTTCCCTGCAGCTCTGAGGCGGAGGATGGCCTTCCTCTTCCCATTTGACGGATGAGGAAACAGAATAGGGAAAAGGGAGGCTTCCAGGCTCCAAGCCCCAGGGGCAGAGCCATGCTCTGTGCACCTCGGGAGTCCTCAAAGGAAGGGGCATAGGTAGGTGTGTGTGTGGCGGGCAGTTGGGGCTGAGGTGGGAGCAGCACATCACACAGGCCTGGGGCTCCGGCTCTAGACTTCCGGTGACTACAGGCCACCCTCCGAGGCTGCCGGGAAGGCGACTCCCAGACAGCATCAATCACCAGTGAATTAGCCGGCCATCCATCAGTATTAGGGAAGGGATTGCTTTTTAATGGGGCCAAAGAATGTGTGTTCCTGTGACTAGTGGGAATATTTGTCAAATGCCTGAGAACCAGGTAAATAAGCTCGAATGAACCAGTGTTTGTGGAAATGGATATTAATAACCGGATGTCATGACAGAGCGAGGGTGCCCAGTGCTGGTGGAGCACCTTCCGGGGACTGGCCGGAGGTGGGGGAGCCCTAAACATCTTTAACTCACGGGACTTTCTGAACGACTCCCTATTTCCCAGGCCAGGAGCTGTGGCTTGCTCACGCCTGGATTGTGGAGTTCCAGAGTGGTTGTGCTGCTAAGGGTTGGGAGTGGCGGGGCTGGTGACTTGAGAGCTAGCTTTCCGGGGGACTCCTGTCTAAGGACCACCTGGAGTGAGGGCTTGGGTGGGGGAAAGGGCCTGACTGGAGACCTAGTGGGTGCCTCCCAGAGAGGCATGGGTCCTCGATGCCAGGGGACCGGCGTCAAAGACATGGCCAATGCCGTCCCCTTCTGCCTGAGGCTGTCCGAATCTGAGAATGACCCTTTTGTGTGCAGTGAGGGGCTGGGGGCTCCTGGAGGAGAAGGAGATTCAGCCAGGGGGAGGAGGTTTGAGGAGGGGACGGGTGCCATGAGAGGAGGCCTTCGGAGTTCCCTGAGAGGATGGGGCTTTGCAAGCGGGAGGGAGGGGGCTCAGGAAGGTGGTGGGGCTCCAGGAGGAGACGGGGGGGGCAGTTTCCAAGAATATAGTATAGAAGGCTGGCCCTCTTCTGGCCCAGGCAGTCCTCCTGTTCCTTGACCGTGCCCACCTGTTCACAATCCCTTCAAGGCCTGAGTCTCCCAACTTAGCAGGATTTGTAGGTTGAATTAAGGTCCTCAGCTTCTCCTCTTCCCACCCCCTACTTGACCCTGTCCCTAACGGATCTCATTTCTTCTGTCCATATCCACAGCTCATCAAACCTGGTTTCATTGCCAGCTGGAAGCCTCCTTACCTTCCACCTTCAGCTGCCTTCCATCCTTTTATCGCTCTCTGCAGGGACCCTCCCCATCCCCACCTGGTCCCCAGCTGGAGATGAAAACCAAGTCTACGTGCCCCAGGGGCCCTGCTTGGCCGCTACCCCCTGAGGACCCTGGATCCAGGCCCAGCCTTGGCTCTGCCTGCAGCCAATGAGTGTCTCTGAGCCTCAGTGTCTTGCTGGGCTCTCTGGTGATGGCGAGCCATGTCTTGGCTGCCTCTTGGGGAGCAGGAGGCCTGGAATGGACAAAGAAGTGGTTTGGAAGCACTTTGGGGACACAGGCGTCTGCCCCCATGTGGCTTTGGGGCCCCAATGCACTGGGCATTTCTGATTTCTCAGCTCACGGACAGTGCAAGTCTGATGGGTGAGCCCTGCTCCGCGCTTTGACTCCCTTCGCAGCCAGTTCACTTGTTTCAAAATACTCAGGGCGGATGCAAAATGGAACGTTGGGGCCACCGGCTTTCTTGGAGCTGCACTAAAGGGAACAGCTTTGTTCTTCTTCTTTGCCTCCAGCTCTACGTGCTAGGCCCGTCCTGTCTCCACTGGACTTTCGAGGCAAGTCCCTAAAAAGATCCTTACTGACTGATCAATGCACAAGCTCTGACGAACTCCTACTCATCCTTCAAGGCCCATTCAAACATCTTTTCTCAGAGTCTCTCCTCTGAGATCCTGAAGCACTTGGCCCTCTCCTGTCCCGTCCCAGAACCATGATTCTAATCTGTTTTATGGTGGAGCTGGTTGTAAACATGCTTGTTTCTCTTCTGAAATGGGGAGGGAGTGGGGGGGTGAGGGATGGTCTTTGAGGAAGTGACTCCAGTCTGGCTCTAGGGGCCCAACATTACCCAGCGCAGTGACTGGCACCCTTGCGTGTCTCTGTGACTGGTTCTGAACTGCACAGATAAAACGGAAGCTTCCAGATGTGGCTGCTGGCCGGGACTCCTCTGCGGAAACCACAGACAGCCTCCGCGGGACCCCTACCCCCACCCCCAGTCAGGGCCCACTGTGCTCTCGCGCCTGGCTGCCGCACCGGGAAGCTCGATAGAGCCATTTTAAGTATAAATTTTTTAAAAAATTATTTTTATTAATATATGATCTCTCTGATAGAGCCGTTTTAGAGAGGCGCAAACTGAGACCTTGACTTGTCATGGATGTTTCATTACTTCTCTCCGCTCCCCCCTCCCCATTCCTCCCTGGGACTGGATGTTTCGGGAAGACATGGACTGGGTCTCCCTGGCGACAGTAAATCTGAGCCTAGTTCAGAGCTCGCCCTAGAGCAGGCGTTCAAGACAGCTTATTGGTTGAATGAACTAATAAACTAATGCAGTTCCTCTGGCCTGGCAAGGGCCCCACCCCGACCCGGCCTGACTGCCGGGTTTCGAGCCCCTCCCGCCCCGCCCCGCCCCGCCCCGCCCCGCCCCGCCCCGGCCGGCCCCGCCCCGCCCCGCCCCGCCCGGCCCCGCCCCGCCCCCGCCGCCCCCGCCCACCCCGCCTCCCCCCCTGCCCCCACCCCCGCCCCCAGCCCGCTCACCCTTGCTCCTCCATCATCTCCTGCAGCTCCATGCACTTGAGCTCCACGCGCCGCTTGCGCTCGTGGTCCAGGATCTCGCGGTGCGCGCGCTTCACCAGGCCCGGCTCGGCGGCGCGCAACTCCTCCTCCGTCCGCGGCCAGGCCCCCGAGGAGGCGCCGGGCTGCGGGAAGCCGTTCGCCGCGTCCGGTGGGGAGGGCATGCTGGCCGCCCCGTTGTTGACCGTGGAGGACATGGCAGCTGGCCTCGGCCCTGCGAGACAGACACAGACACCAGGCGGTGGTCACTTCTCGGCCACCTGCTAAGCTCCTGTGCGCGCGGGTTAATCCTGGAGATTTAAAGGCCCACTCATGGCTCTAATCCGCTTCCCCTCATGCTGCAGAAGGCCGGGGTGGACATCAGGTTAGCACCTTTGGGTCACACCTCAGGGCATTGGCGGAGGGGAGGTGGGGATTGGACATCAGGCTTTCCCATCTGCAAAGTGGGTGGATGCTGGACCTGAAGGCCTCCAAGGGCCTCGAGCTTGGGATAGTCCTCTCCAGGGACCTAGTAACCACCCAGGCAAAGCATTCTTCCTCGTACCAGTTCCTGGGTCCCTGCTTACACACCTGCTTGTAACTTGCCCCAGGCAACCACATCCGTCTCTGGGAAAATTTATTAGTTGTCTTTTTTTTTTTCCCAGTTTATTTATTTAAGTAATCTACACCCAAGGTGGGGCTCCAACTCACAACCCTGAGATTAAGAGTTTCGTCCTCTTCCAGCTGAGCCAGCGGGGTGCCCCAGGTGAAATCTGTTAGTTTTGCTTTTCCTTCAGTCTCAGTTAAACCTCCTCACACCCTGGGGTCACAGGCTGCAGGGCTCCCAGGGCAGCCCTGCAGGAGACGGGGGAGACTCAGTCAACTGCAGTCCCACCACCTATGCCGTTTTCAGTCGATCTGGCCAACTTCTCCCCAACTTTCCAGGTGTGGGCCAGATCCAGAGGGAAGCCCACAGGTCTGTCCCCTCCTTTGTTCTGGAAACACTGCTCCTGCAGATGTGAGCAAAATGGCACTGACATGAGCTTCTATGACTGCCGCATCCTCCTGCAGGCTCAGACTGATGTGGGAGTCAGCCCAGCCCGGAAGGTAGGCGGCCCTGGCTTCACACTAGGGCTCAGAGTAGCGTATGCACACGCACCCGTGCAAGCACACTCATGTGCACTGACAGGACCTATCTGGACAGAGGGGGGCACCTCCAGCTATTTCCACTTCCTTTCTCCTAGGCTCCAGCTAGTTGCTAAGCAACAGGGAGGCCTCCTTCCCAGGGAGTGGGATGGGAGAGAGGCAAGAGTGGAGGGAGGTGGGAAGAAGGGATTGGGCATGTCTGGACATCCCGGATGGGGCCTTTCCTGCAACACATGCTCACCAAGCCCCACACAGAGCTCTGGGAGCCCTGTTCTCCACCTGCCTTGACCATGGTGCTTGGCCTTGGGTGACCTTCTGGCTGTTGGTCTCCTGCACCAGGGAGCTTGGAGACCCCTCTTGCCCTGGCCCACCACCTGTCACCAAGTTTGGTTCCCTAGCCCCTCTTCTCGACATTGCTTCCATGCCTGTCACCAGCAAAATCCAAGCCCCTCACTCTGCTCCTCTGCCTCTCATATCCTGGCTCTCCCCCCCCGACCCCCGCCCCCCACCCCGGCCCTCCACCCTGCGTCCACCTTCACCATCAGTAACCTGAGAGTCAGCCCAGGAGCACACCAGACTGTGTCATGCCCTAATAGCCTCTAGTGGCTTCCCGTCGCTTAAAGTCAGACACAGCCTGCCTTCTGGTCTTGCTGTAACCACACTCCCACTGCCACAGATTCTCCCTCTCTCTGGTGTCCAGGCTTCTCCACTTGGTGCTCCCTTCCCCTGGGACACCTTTTTGACTCCTTTGTGTCCTCAGAGTCACTGCTCATAGGATCACTACCTTCTCGAAGGCTTCCCTTACCCCTCTAGCTGGTGCTACCCAGCCAGAGCTCCTGCCACTCACTGTTGGCCCCAAGGGCTCACAGGTCTGCCCCCTCCACTCCCTCCAGCACAGAGGGCTGCCTAGCTTTAACTCCTAGTGCCAGTGACGTGCCTGAGTGAGCAGGGGGAGCTCGATTCACTTGCGTGGAACCAATAGAAGACAGTTACAGTGGGAGGCGGGATTGAGGAATACTGGGCAGAGTCCTCAACAGGGTCCGAGACCTCTTCGCATTTTGCCTTATGCTATCTGGCAACTTCCTCTCTTGCTACGCTTCATGGTGCAACCAACATCCAGCCCCTCAGCCTTGGTCATCTGTCCCCAGACATGCACTCTCACTCCTTTGGGCCCTTGCCCATAGAGTTCCCCTGTGCTGGAATTCCATTTCCTCTCTTTTCGACTGGGGAGCTTCTGCTCATCCTTCAGGGTCCAGCCCAACTGTCACCTCCTCTGGGAAGCTGACCAGGCTTCTCAGGAAGAATGAGCCATTATCTATTCCTGCTATTTGGGCTCCAGCTTTTGTCCTCACCTCTTTAGATCCTGAAGTTCAACTTGTTTGCATCTGACCTCGCCTCCTGAACCATGAGCCCTTTGAGGAGGGGATCCCTTCATTCTGGCTCCCCAGAGCCTACCCAGCCCCTGGCAATGGTAGAGGCCTCTGGAGGGTATAGGGGAGCCCAAAGAGCCAGGCTCTGAGCCATGCTGCTGGGCATGCTTCCCCTCTGACATGGGCGAGGCTCCCCAGCCTAGAAGTTGGCCCGAGCTCCTTGAGGGCAGGGGAGAGGGGAAGATGGTGGCGGCAGTTCTGAGCACACTCAGATCTCCAGACCGCCCCCGCCCCTGCCCCCAGCAGTTCTGTTCCCAGCTCTAGCGGAACACCTGGCTAAGATTGCTAGACGGCTGAGGGCTATCCTTCAGGAATGGCTCTAAGAAGGAAAAGAGAGGGTACATGGGTGCGGGGGCAGGGGTAATCTGGATTTGCACTGGGACAGATGGCGGATTCTGCCAACTTCACTGGGTGTGTTGCAGATGGCCACCAGGCAGGAATCAGAGATAGGTCATTGAGGGATGACCCCTGAACACCAAGAGGAGGGGCCGGGCCCCTCAGAACAGTCCCTGCATATGCAGCCCACTTCCTTCCAAGCTGTAGGTGCTGGGGCAGCAGACCAGGTAGTTACTGCGGGCACAAGGTCTCTCTGAGAGGCATCTGACCTTATCTTTTATGGAATCCCTGTGAAATTGCATAAGGAGAGAGACCGATCGCGGTTATTGGAACGAATATTCTGCACTGTTGTAATTGGTGGATAGACTGACCTGTGCTCCAAGGGAGCCGATTCATGGGTTGGTATCACATTAGATGGAACATGTTTAGTGGAGGGCCACAGGGCTCTGTCTTCACCTATGTCTGATCTGATATGTTCGCCATTGACTGGATGGAACATTGATAATCTGATGATCGGATTCATTGATGACAGCACCTGGGGAGCCTCATAAATTGAGTCATTTTCTTTTTTTTTTTTTTTAATTTATTTATTTGACAGAGATCACAAGTAGGCAGAGAGGCAGGCAGAGAGAGAGGGGGAAGCAGGCTCCCTGCCAAGCAGAAAGCCCGATTCGGGGCTCGATCCCAGGTCCCTGGGATCATGACCTGAGCTGAAGGCAGAGGCTTTAACCCACTGAGCCACCCAGGTGCCCCTAGAGTCATTTTCTAAAAGACTCACTAGACTGGACAGATGGAAGACATTGAAGAAGGTGGAACAGGACAGAGAAAATTCCCTCACTCTGAAGCCAGATCCCAAGCGAACTTTCTAAAATTGGAATAGGATAGACATGATTTAGACACAGCATATTTAGGAAGGATTTAGGGGTCTTCAATGGTCACAGACCCGATCTGAGTCAATACTATCCTGTGGCTGCCAAAAGTGCTTGTTATCTTAGGCTGCATCAACAAAGACATGATGTCTAGAATGGGGAGGTGATAAGAAATATACAGGTGGTCAGAATCCCTATCTTCAAATACTTGAAGGATTATAGAGGATTTAGGCCAAACCTGGCTGAATCTGTGGGGAAGCTTGTTAGGATCAGATAGAGTTGGGAAGCCTGGGTGATTCAGTCTGTCAAGTGTCCAACTCTTGATTTTGACTCAGGTCGTGATCTCAGGGTCCTGAGATCAAGCCCCACAATAGGCTTTGTGCTGAGCTTGGAGCCTTCTTAAGTTTCTCTCTCTCCCTCTCCCCCTCCCCCTTGCACGTTAGTCCACACTCTCTCTAAGAAAAAGAAAAAGAATTAGGTGGGGTTACCAGATTTGGCAAATAAAAAATACTAGGGAAGGGAGCCTGGGTGGCTCAGTTGGTTAAGCATCTGCCTTTGGCTCAAGTCATGATCCCAGGGTTTTGGGATCGAACCCCACATGGGAGTCTCTGCTCAGCGGGGAGCCTGCTTCTCCTTTTCCCTCTGCCTCTCAATCCTGCTTGTGCGCTCTCTCTCTCTCTCTCTCAAATAAATAAATAAGTAAATAAATAAAAGTCTTTAAGAAAAATACTAAGATGCAAGTTAAATTAAATTTGAATTTCATGAATTTCATATTTGGGGCATACTTATACAAAAAAAAATCCTTATTCATTTGAAACTCAAATTAAACCGGGTATCTTATAGTTTCTAGGTCAGTCCTGCCTGGGACCCACCCCAGACCTACTGAACCCGAGTCTCTTGGGGATCGTTCATGTCTCCCGAGTGATTCTGATACAGACTCTCTCTCTGGACCAGCTGTGGGGCGCTGGTGTCTGGAGCAGCAGTTCTTCAGATTTTAATCTGCATCAGAGTCACCCAGAGGGTTTGTTAAAACACAGCTTCGGAGTTTCTGATTCAGTAGATCTGGGGTGGTGTCTGAGAATTTGCATTTGTAACACGTTCCCAAGTGCCCTTGATTCTGCCTGTCCCCCCGTCACACTGAGAAGAGGAAGGACTTGGGCAATCTGGGCTGTTCCAGAAGAAAGCCAGGACTCCTGCGGGGAAGTCAGCTAGAGCGGACTTCAACTAAGCCCAAGCCAGGATTTTTTTTTCCCCCCCGTAGCAATCAAACCTTTAAGAAAAAAACTAAGCAGTTCAGTTCATCCTAACATAAGCGAGCTCCCCGTCACAGGAACGTTGGAACAGGAGGTAGATATCTTACCCGCTTGACAAACACCCACCCAGCATCTACTCAGGCCAGATCCTATGAAAGGCTGGGCATTTGGAGATGAACATGAC